TATCTGAGACTACACTTGGCCATCTGAGACTACACCTGGCCATCTGATGGCTCATTCTTTTTTTAAGCTTCCTGAGGGGTATGTTGTCACAGACATTTTATGTTGTTGTTGTTCTTTATTTTGTTGTTTTTGTCCCATGGCGCAGAGCCAAATGAGGCCAAAATGGGGTATAGGTAGGGCAGCCGACCTGGGACCAGAAGTCGCAGGCTCAACTCCCAGCCATTCCCACATGTCATAGTGTCTCTGAGCAAGACACCTAATCCCAAATTACTCCCCATGTGCTTACATAACTGCCCACTGCTCCACCTGGGTGTATTTATTCATTATTTTTTATTTATTTATTTATAAGATCTTTACAAAGAATAATCAGAGCTTTATCATATTCATACACTTATGGGACACACATCAGAGGCAATGAGGGGTTCAGTGTCTTGCCCAGGGACACTTCAGCATGTGACTACTGGTGGAGTTGAACCCCCAACTCTTGCATTGGAGGACGACTGCTCTAACCACTCAGCCACAGCTGATGTATGTAAACTCACCACCCCTATCATTTGAGGAATCTATGCTTTCTAGTTTTTATATTGTTTAAAAGTTTCTTCAAATGATTGGAGTTGCTGAAGGTTTATCTACGGGTGCTCAGTGGCCACCCCGACTCCTCCACTACACCTGGTGGTGGATGAATGTCTCCCACCATTCACCAGGATCTGTCACTCTGTGCTGCCTCAGACAAGCAAAAAATAAGAACTACCTCTGTTCTTCTGCAGTGTAACTCCTCCCCATGTAAATATCTTGCACAAAAAACATTAAGGTTTACTGATATTTTCTGTTCAATTCCAAAAATACACTCATCTTGAAAACAACAAACGTTCACAGTTCAGATCCCTCAAAGATGGAAGACAGAGTTTTTGTTAAGGCCGAAAGGAACGTCTGTGTTAGAGGTGTGATCCCAGGCTCTCAGTTCTCTACCACTGAGCCATGTTGAGAGAGGCCTCTTCAGGATCACGTTGAAGCAGGCCACAGGTGCTGGAGGACCTATGGAGGTGCACGTGTGACCCGGTGCTGTTAAGTAGTTGCAAATCCAACCTCTGCAGGACATCATGCAGGAGATATTTCAGCCACCATCAGAGCTAGAAGAGCTGTCCCCATATGTTCTGGCTAGGATCAAGAGGAGCTGTATCTCCTCCTGAACCCCAGACCTTCTTTATGTTGCTCCTCCGAGCCATTCTCAGGGATTTTTAAATCAGGGAACAACAACAGGGGCACGGGGGTTAAATCAGCTGCCTCCCTGACCGTAAGGATGTCTCCGTGGTGGGCTCCTGGCTCTACAGTCAAGACGTCTCACATTAAAAGTTGATTTGTTGAATTTGTCCATCAGTTTACAAACTGGTTGTGAACCAGTTAACGACAGATACATTTACTCCACAGCTGATCCGTGAGACTACATTTTATCTGTCACTTACAGAAACTGTTTTTTTTTTTTATAAGTGGCTGTTGTTTGTCAAATAAATAAAAAGGTGATTAAAAAAATAGCTGCATTTAGTAGATGTTGGCATGCAGTTAGATGTTCCACATGTTGCTGGGATGTTCAGGACCTTAGAAGTCCTCTGATTTGTATTTTTCAATATTCGTTTCTCTTAACTGAATTAGGACAGTCACTTTAAAAAGTTAATGTTTTTATAGTTGTTTTACATTACATGTTTTTATTTAATTAATATTCTGTAAAAATCTGATTTTACTTAGACATTAAATAAAGTACTTTTCTGTGTGTGTCAAAAAGGCTGATTTGTTTTAACCATGATTGATTTATGATAGAGGGTTTTCTTCTTTCGGCTGCTCCCTTCTTCAGGGGTCACCACAGTGAACTAAGTCCCACGAAGACTTGGCCGTTGTTTTTAACGTTGGATGTTCTATTTCGTGTAGGCTTCGCCCTTTAAGGCTGTCGCTGGTGGGTTTATCCCTACACGCGCAGCACTGAAAACTTTAGTCCACACCCACCTGCTGTGTGGGCCTCACCCCCAGTCCGTATAAATCCATTTTTTCTTCAGCCAGCTAGCTAGCACTGTCAGAAGAACGAAGAAGGAAAAGTTGTCCAGCTTTGACCGGCACAACCTTTGCTAAGGATGCCTGGTTCTCCGCCACGCCAACCTCCTGCCGTCCCAGTGAGCTCTTCCTCCCCGAGGAGAAGCAGACGAGCAGCCTTGCTCAAGGTAAGCGCCGAGGAGTGCTTTTCCGTGGCGGGCCGCTACCCGCTGGACGGCGCCACCGCCTTTTCTAACGTGTTCTTTTCTCGCAGTGAATCGGATGATTCCTCCAAGAAAGGTGATACGGAGCTGCCCCCTCCCTCCTTGAGAGCTTAGAAGAAGAGCAGTCGAACGGATGCTCAGCCACCTCGGATCTTCCCACGTCGGCGCCCTACTCTCGGAGCTGCCCGGCATAATCCAGGAGGATGTTAACACAAGGGACTTTGCGTCCCTCGCCTCCCTCCGCCCTGATCGGATGATGTGGCAGCAAGGTTGGCTCCGCCCTGGCTCGTCGCCCTGACCCCATCTGGCCTCGCTGTCCAGCTGTGACGTCACACTGGAAGGAGGCTGCAGCTGGGCTGGCAAGCTGAAGACAGCCGCCTCCACCTTTGCGTCCATCTCCAGAGTGGAGGGTTTTACTGATCTATGTTTTTCCCACGGTCACCCCCCCCCCCCCCCCCTCCCGGAGCCAAGCCTGGCGGTGGCACTTGGGGCAAGAGCTTCCAGGATGAACCAGCAACCTGTCCCTCCAGAGAAGCATGACCAGGTGGTGACAAAGCTCTCCAACCGAGCTCACCAGTGCTCATTCCAGGCGGCCGCAGTGAACAACAACGTCGCCCTGCTGACCTACAGCATCTCTAAGAGGCTGGAGGAAGCAGACCTGGTGGAGGAGACAAAGATCTCTCTCTGTAAAGCTGCTGATGTCATCTTAAACATGTGCCACCTCTGCGGTCTGCCCGTTCCGCATCGCCACCTGGATGACCATGATCCGGAGGACCACTTGGCTCCGCCTCTCGCCATCCTTGTCAGAGAGGCTGCAGAGAGACCTGCTGGAGGGCCCCATCACCCCAGAGGCGCTGTTCGGGGCCAATTTCAGGATCATCCTTGAGGAATCGCAGAGGTCCGAGGAGGTCTCAGACTGTACACGATCTGGTGACGTCACAGTCCATCTGCCCCTCCGGCCGCTGGAGGGACCACCTTGGCCAGCAACAGCAGCAGAGGTGCTCCACAGCTGCGGCAGCGACTTCACGCTCCGCTGCTCCGCCAGCCCCCTCCACCAGGGAACAGCTCCTTGAGGGGAAGGTATGTGTTTTGATGATGTATGTTTTGGGGGAGTGGTGGCGCAGAGGTTAGAGAGGTGGGCCTGTGATCCGAAGATCGCCGGTTCACGCCCCGGCCCCGACAACATCAAAAATTGTGTGAGGCGTAGGTGAAACACTCACACTTGCCCCCACCCTCATTCGCCCCACCCTGGGCCCATGAGCAAGGCCCTTAACCCCCACCATGTGCTCCCTAAACAGGTCTCTCTTGAAAATGAGTTCTCGTGGCTCAATGAGACTAACCTGGATAAATAAAGGCTAAATGAAAAAAAAAAAAAATAATATATATATATATATATATATATATATATAAAACTGAAACATCTTTGAAAGTAAAGTTTTTTCGTCTGAGACTGTCAGATCAGCTGAGCTCACAGTTGCCTCTCTTCACACATTCCCCACACAGAACGAGCCAGTAACCTCTAAACAGCGTTTTAAATGGCACCACAGTTCAGTAAATATCACAAAACACTCGTCTGCCACGTCAGCTAAAATGATGGTTTTTTTTCAGCAGACCGAGTCCGCTAAAATCCCTCGCTCTCAGCCAGAGCCCGTTTTTAATTTCTGCTGTTTTCTGCCCACTCACAGCGCAGCAGGAGTAAACGTGTTTCTCCTCGACAGCTGCAGCCTCCACCGAAACGGCGTCTCACACCTCCTCTCAGTGCGCGCTGGCTCACCTGAGCTCCGGAGTACCCGGAGAAAACCCACGCAAGTACGAGAAGAACATGCAAACTCCACACAGAAAGACCCCAGGTCCAACCGGGGATTGAACCCAGGACCTGTGAGGCAACAGTGCTAACCACTGAGCTGCCAGGGGCTGCTGGTGGAATTGAGCCCCTAACTCTTGCATTGGAGGACAACTGCTCAAACCACTCATCCACAGCTGCCCATATGTATAATGATCCATATGTGGTTCTCTTGTTTGCTTTTATTTTAATAGTTAATTTTATTTAATTTTTCTCATACTTTTTCTTCCATTCAACATTCCTTCACAGTCTGAGATAAATTAGCAGTCAAAACTTTTCATTTAAAGTGAATTGAAGAACATTTATTTTAGTTCACATTAACATTAAGAAACATGAGAAATGCCAACATCTGCATGTGAAAATATTTTTAAAAAGTCTTTTAAAAGTCTATAAAAACAACTCACTGTTGCTGCTCATCTGTGTATTTAATAAAATATCTCACTTATGTTGATTAACAAACGCAGTTTATAAAAGTGAGATTAAATTACAGACATCTGCAGATTGAATTATTTTATCTGCATTAAACTGGTCCTGAGCAGGTTTTGGTGCTTCCTGCTCAACATGACTGAGTGTAGACTAACAAAAGTCTCCTTGGTCCTGATGCTGCTCACTAATCCAGGTAGATAATCTAACCAGGTTGAGAGAGACTTGGGGTTGAGACCACAGATATGATATAAACACTGTTTATATCATATCTGTGGTTGAGACAGATTATTATTATTATTATTATATGATATGATAT